CAGTAAAAGTTAAGCATAGCGTAATATGTTGGTTTAAACTTTAATATTTTCAATTTAAATTATAAAACATTAATTATTAAATAAAAATATTCTTTTATCATTATCAAGGAACCACTTCTAATATAACTGTTAGTGTTTTGCAATTGGAGCTCTTAAAACTAGTGCAAAACGCATTTTTGTTCGGCTTATCACCATCAAAGTTGGGAACTGAGCTAATTGACCGAGTTAACTTCGCAAATGAGATCCCTTTTCGAACCTGGGAGATGGCAAGTGGGTCACTATTGGGCCGGATCAACCTTGGACCGACAGTCCCAGTTTCATCAAATTGAGACTGTAACAGGTCCACCACACAGGCCGGTCGGTCCTGACCCCTTTTTTTTTTTTTACCAGGCCTAACGAGTACCTGCTTCCCGCACATGTCAACATCAAACATGAAAATTAAAATTACGCATTCCACCGTCACCGTTCTCCACTTTCTCCCAATTCCAAATGTGGGAATCACCCTTAAAATGATGTGATTGCCCTACTCTTCCAAAAACAAAAAACGAAAAACAAAATTAATAATGAGATGAAACGGTGCAAAATACACATTATGGAGCGAACAGTTGTTTCCGAAATAGTTAGGGGAACTGTTGTTGTTGAAAACCTTCAAGGCCTTCCTTGCTCAGATCTTCTTGTTTAATAAACCTGCAAAGCTCCAAGTGATCCTCGGAGTAAACACTCCGATACTTAAGTCAGCAATAATCTACACTTGGAACTCTTTAAAGAGAATAAAGTGCATTAAAGAGAAATCCTGAAAGAGAAGTCCTATACCTTTTAGGGATGTGAAAATATTTATAAATCCTTTGGGAATGCTGAACATGCGTTGCATTTCTGTTGGTCCCTTTAGATCTATTTGAGTGTATATAAACTCCATAATAACTTATACATGTGCTCTTTTGTATTTGGCTTCATGGGCCTTCACTATGTTTATGGGCTGATTATATTACTACCCTTACAAGAACAAACAGCACTTTATCCATTAGATGAGACAACATGTCCACATAAGGGCAAATATTATTTTAAACAAAACAAAGATAGAATTAAGCACTTTCTCAATCTAGGCAAACATATCCCCATCAGGAAAAGACCTTAGCAAGCATTTCAGTTTGCATGTTGCTATACTGGCCTCCCAATCTACATGGTCCGATGCAAATTTATCAAGGCAGCAACTCAGCGAGGGAGAGGTGGAAATCCCAGCCCGATGAGCTGAGCTTGGAGAGGCAGCATATGGTATTTAATGTGCAGATCTTCCAAAACTGTCTTCAACTCTAAGATTAGATCAGATCGTCGGGCATTTCTCTTCATATAGTTTTGAAAGTTCATTTTGTGAGTGAAATAGAAAGCCATTTTCATTTTGTTCACATCATCAAAGTCTTTAACCACCACACTATGTTCAGGTTGCCACAACTCAGAGTTCTCCTTCAAATACCTGAAATCCAAGGGAGAAAATCATCTAACAAAGAGTACATAACAAGAAATGGGGGAACAGAGAAAGTAAGGATTCACATACATTTCAATTCTTTCTTTAAGAGCCTTAATTTGGTCTACTGTTGTGGAAATATCAACAGCAAACTCTATAGAATCACCCATTTCAGGACTCCTGTAGAAGTTGCCAATTGGCTTGGTAGCCAAAACAGCATTTGGATAGTATATTTTCTCCTTGTCATATTTCAAAAAGATAGTTGTTAGAAGATTCATCTCGTCAACTACCATCTGTAAAGAATTAATATGTCAAGTTAGAAGGAAGATAATCTTCAAGTAATATAGAGAAAAATACGAGCTATGAGGTTTGGGATTTACCTGTACTCCATCAATGACACAACGATCATTAACATCAAAAGGGTGGACCACAAATACAAATATGATTGCTTCAAATACAGTCTTGAGAGTGTTGCCAAACATGAATACCACAAGCAAAAGCTGAGATGAAATGAAGAGAAGTACTCTGGTTGTTAAAACTCCCATTATAAGTAAGCAAGCAATGATGATCACAAAGAGGATAACCCCAGAGGAAAGCCTATTGAGCTCTTCAATTGCTGTCTTCGAGTCTTTCAGGGAACATGCCAATGCTTTGCGTTCGTTGTAAACATTCAGCTGCAAGCAAGGAAAAACTAATTAGAAAACTCTGCCAAGGTATTGCACTGGGGTTGGATGGTGCTTTCCAACTTAGCAATTCCACAAAAGAGCAAAAATTATTGTACTTCTACTACATCAAGATTATCTACACTTTTGTTGGAATTTGGAAAGGAACATACTAATTAAAAGATGTATAAAAGCTTGTGCTTATGGAACATGTAAAAGAAAGCAATATATGATAAAAAAAAATAAAAAAAAAAAACTTACCAGCCATTCCTTTAAATCCTTTTTCTTGATCTCTTCACCTTCTGCTTCTCCTTTAATTAGTAGGAAAACATCTTCGACTTCCTTCTCATCAAAGTAGGGCTGGAGATCCTCTTTTTTGATAAATTTCTCAGACATGTGACACCTATATAATCAATTGAACAAGGACAATTAGTCACACAATTCCAAAACAAACAAGCTATAGAGTCAAATAAAGCAATTGTAACCATCAAACTATAGACACACATATATTTATATATTCTTACTCAATATCAGTTGTGTAATTTCCGGACACTTTCTTGAAAATCCTGTTAGCAGCTTTCCTCGCTTCATCCTCACTTGTGATTTTCTTATCTTTCTGCTCATCATCATCATCTGCGACAATAGACAACTTGGAGGTACTTATGACATCAACAAACTCTTTCATGGTCCAAGCAGAGGTTTTCTCCTGCTTCATTTTCCTTAGCCACTTAATCAGCTCCTGTCTTTTACCTTTCTTTTTCCTCCTTAACTCAGAAAACATTTGGGAAATGCTTGTACTTGTACCACTATTATCTCTAGATGGAGACCCAGAGAGAACCTCAACAACATGCTGTTGAAAGATTGCTTCTTTAATCCTATCAAAGAATCTTTTACACTGATAATGAGCAGCTACTGTCTTAACAAACAGAGTTTTCAACAGCCATAAAAATGCTCCAAGAAGACAAGAAGCAAGACCCCTGGTAATGTCATTCAGAATATCTGAGGTTTCCTTTGGTCTTTTAACTCCACGTTTAACCAACAGTATCCAAACCACAAGAACCAAACACAACCACACGAAAAATCTAACACTTTTTCTAACCCCAAAAACAAAATACAGAACCTTTTCATTGCGCACATACTTCCTTTTAATCAAGAACACTACAACATCCATCGCCCATCTAGTTAAAAGCCTACCACAGAAAATAACCAAAACTAACACACACCATTTCCACGGTTTCAATCCCCAAATTAAATCATTTTCAAACTTGCGTATAGTTAAACTAACAATTAAGCACCCCACAAAGCATATAAATACAACCCCCTCAACTATCCCTGAAAATGTCCATTTACCCCATATCTTACTTGTTTCAAGATTAGTACTTTCATCATCTGCATCATCTTCTGCATCATCATCCCCTGCTTTTTTCGAAGTCCCTCTAGGAGTGCTGACTTTATTGCTTCCAGTTCTCG